GGCTCCTCCTCCTCGTTACGGAGCTTTTCTCACTTATTTTTTTTCAAACACGATGCGTTCATGACGACAGTCTCGCCGTGCTCAGACATCAGATTAGAAATATTAAGAAAAACAGCAGAAAATGAACAGAAGGACTAAAAATGTAACAGCTACAGTACACGTTTCCTTTTCTTCTCTGTTAGTTTCGTCTTTTTTTCTTTTTAATGTTTACAGAATAATAGAGTATGTTTACTTAAGGCTTATGCTGAGTGTTATGGACCAATCAACAGAAACGAACCAAACCAGGAGGCGGGCGGGAAGGGTGTGTGTGTGTGTGCTTTCCTATGTGTGTAATGGGGACACTGTGTTTAATTGTGTTACAGGGACACAGCATGAATTTAGGATTTTTCCTTTCACAAGTTTGGGAAAATTAACCTGTAGCCTTGTTTCTTTCTTACCTTCAGCACTGATCAGGACTTTCTAAGTGACACCTATCACAACTTTAATTTCATCTTAAATCAGCGGTTAAACATGTAGCACCACGGCGTACCTCTGCCAATTTATTCTCGTGTCACAGGCGTTTTTCATGATTGTTAGGTGATTTAATCATCTTCAATGAATATATCCTAACATCTTTAATGAATAAACAATTTCTTAATGCAAATTCAAGTTCATAATGATTGTTTAAATCAGTGACTCCCAAAATGCAGACTGGAGCCCCCTGGTGGGCTATGAAGATATTGCAGGCAGGCCGCATCATTAATTGAAATTCAGTTTGAAAATTACAGTGTGTACAGTAACATATTCATATAAACAATAATAATAGAAGGCTGTTTGTGATATTAGTCATTACTCTCACCTAAATTTATAGCTCTTGTATTAAAGTTTGTGTCCCAGTGCCACAGCTTAGCCATAAACTTTGATATGCCTGGGTAGCATTAACAATGTACAGCCAACAGTGTGTGCTATTTAAGTTTTTACGTGCTATTTCAGGGTAATACATCACTCTTATCACTTTATTAGGATGAGGATTTAACCTTTAGAGGCCCGTGTGAGTTTGTGGTTTAGCAGTGGGCCTCAGCACTCTGGACTTTGGGAGTCGTTGGTTTAAAGAATTCAGTGAAACCCATCCAACATGTTCTAAGATTCTATATTTTTATGCCAAGGTAACATCCTAAAGGCATAAACGTGAAGCATCAGAGGAAGACGACTGTATTTCTGAATATGTTGAAAATTTGAAATACTGGCTTCATCGGTGCTAACACAGAATCACCAGCAGATATTTCACGTGACACGAAAATGTACAAACTGTCACAAAAAGTGAAACTCTGCATTTCATCATCGATAAGTTTGAAACCCACAAAAAAAACTATTTGTTAATGAGATTGCAGCACTGCCCCCTAAAGGCAGATCGCAGTAACTACACAAGCTAAAGTATTGCTAAACCTTAGTCTTACACTCTAACAAAATAAATAAATATTACACAGTGTTTTGAAATAAATAAAACATCTGCATTACTCTCTCAGTTTACTTCATTAAATTTACCCACATGACTTTATCAGACACTCCTCTGGCTACTGCTGCTCTGCTAAGCTTGGCTAGTTAGCGCTTAGCATTAACAGTTTGTTGTTTATGGTGGAGTGCAGCTGTTTAACTGAGATGTTAAATAATG